GGACATTTTAATGTTAATTTTTCCTATCCATGAGCATAGTGTATGCTTCCATTTATTTGTATTTTCTTCAGTTTCTTTCTTCAGTGTCCTATAATTTTCTGAGTACAGATCTTTTACCTTCTTGGTTAAAGTTGTTTTTATGTATTTTTTATGCAATTGTAAATGTCATTGTTTTCTTAGTTTCCCTTTCTGATAGTTCATTATCCATGTATAAAAATGCAACTGATTTCTGATTAAATAAGGGTGGTGAAAGTGGACACTGCTGTCTTGTTCCTCATTTTACCGGAAACTCTTTTCATTTTTCCCCATTGAGTATGGTACCTGTGTTATGTTGATGTATGTTCCCTCTATTCCCACTTTGCTGAGAGTTTTTATCATAAATGGGTGCTAGCTTTAGTCAAAGGCTGTCTGTTTTCTGATGGCCTGGACAATGAATAACAGCAATCTTAGGAAGTATTGCTCCACTGTCCAGTTGAAATTCTCTTAGATCTCTGGCAAAAGCCTCTCTAAACAGTGGGGGAGGGTTTGAACTCTTGGAGAATAACAGTTCAACAGTCTTCCAAATGTAAATAGCTCCTGAGATTCAGAGTTCAAGGGTATACAAAGGAAAGGGATTTAAGTCCAGGAGAGCAAACCACCAAAATTTCCCAAAGTTGTCACCAAGGTATAAGGGTTAGGGACCACCAGGTAGATGTCTTCCACTCTTTGGTTGAGGGCCCTCAAGTTCTGAACAGATCTGTATTCCCCAGTACCTGATTTCTATACTGGTAAAATGGAAGTATTATATGGTGAATGACAAGGCTGAATAAGCTGATATTCTAGGAATATTCTAGGAATACTGTTACTAATGGTTGGATTCCCCTCCTAGCTGGTTCTTTTAGAAGGTCCTGTTTTAGATAGGAAGACATTTGCTCCTGCGCAAAATCACATTTGGATTGGGGTAGCCGTCTTTGCCTCTGCAGGCCTGCCCTTTGCCCATCCTTCCAGACTTATTTCTTGGAAGATTTCTTTGGAGAACTCAGCCAGAAGTTCTTTCTTTGGCCAAATCCAGCAATGCTGCCTGTAAAACACAAGCTTCTTCCAGAGGCACTTTAATATCAATCCGCCGTGGGCAGAGGTTATTTTGGCATTTAGTTTAGTCAGTAAGTCCCATCCTAAAAGTGGCACTGAGCATTTCAGCAATACAAGAAGCTATGATTAAGGTTTGTTTTTCCCATTTGGCAATCTAATGGCTTCCTTACTGACTCTGGCATTCTAGTCACGAGCCTTGTTTCAGAGGAGAGTTTAGTCAACCTAGTATTTAATACAAACTGTGGCTCCAGTGTCAATCAGAAAGTAAATTAAGCCCAGCCGGTGTTGCTCAGTGGTTGAGTATCAACCTATGAACCTGGAGGTCACAGTTCAATTTCCCAGGTGGGCTCGATCCCCAGTAAGGGGTGTATAGGAGGCAGCTTAAAAATGATTCTCTCTCTTCATTGATGTTTCTATTTCTCTCCCTCTCCCTTCCTAAAATTAATTTTAAAAATATTTTTTAAGTCCATTAATTTCTTCTTCTTCTTTTTTAAAAAGTCCATTAATTTCTTTCCCCACTGTTCCATGTGGGTGGTGTTGACCAGAGGCCCCGGTCCGTCACTCAGGAATAATTGGGTTACCTGTAATGCTCCTCCTACCTCTTTGTCCTGTTCTCTGCTTAAACTTGGTCATTTCCCCCATTCCACCCACCACCCCACCCCCAATGACCCTCTGGCTTGCAGTAAGCACACTGTTTGGGGCCTACTTTTGGAGCAGGTCCCTTGTTCCCCGCGGCCTTTACCTTGTTCATTGTTTTCTTAGGCCCTCTGGTGGTCAGAGCAGCAGCCAGCAAGTCAGCCTGTTGCTTCACCTCACTCTTTTCCCCAGATCTAGTCTCTGTTATTGAACAACTGAAAAGCAATCTCCACCAACAGTGATAGAGGCATTCAAAAGGCCTCTTAAGCTTTTGAAGCTTTCTTTGGACATCAGGGGCACTCTGACCCAAAATAGTCATGTTCACCACCTTTAAGTTTTCAGGGGCCTCTGGGCCTACATTAGTATTTTGGTGACAAGCCTCAAAGATACATTCTAGGAATTTGGCTGGGTCTTTGTCTGAACACTGCTTTGGCTGCTGGACCTGATTAAAACTTATTTGTTTGGGCACTCCCTTCCTTAACCCAACGGAATGCAGTTCCTGTCGTGCCCAAGCTTGTGCTGATCCGCGTCGTTTATATTCCGGTGTGGTCCGGTAGCAGGGACACAGCAGCTGTGGCTTCCGCTCACACAGGGTTTTGCAGTGTCTCATTGTGCAGGTGATTAGCTTTTCCCCCCTGCCTTTTCTAAGATAACCCACCGTTCTTTGGCAGTAAGTAGGGTGTTCAATAGATGTTGAATATCTGCCCAAGTCAGGTTATAAGTGTCAGCAATGGGGGGGAAAAGAGGTTTTCCGTATTTCTAGGATGGTCCCTATAGGCAGGCATATTAATTTCAGCATTAATTCCTCCAATTGGCACCTGCTTTAATGGGAATTGCCCTGTCTAGAGTGGCCCCCTGACCAATGTGGGAACCCTGCTGGATGTGAGAGGGGAGACCATTGCTCAGCCTGGCAGAGCTCTTCCTCCAGCTGCGTCACTGCCAAAGGGCAGTGGAAAGGCCACACGGGTGAAACCTTAAGCTAGAGTAATAAGTCACCTTCCTTCTCCTGGAATTCTCGTCAGACTTGCCTGGTTTCCCACCCTGGTGTTTCATAATTTTACATTTCATTTGCATGTGCTTATTCTGATACAAAAGAATAAGCACTTTGTACATAGGGGATTTCATCCATTTTTCCTCAGTGACTCAAGTTGCAAGATGGTACTGTAGTTCAAAGACCCAGCCTCTGGCCAGTGTTCTCCTGACTCTAGAGCAGACTGTGGCCATGTCATATTACAAAGAAAAAGCATTTTCTTTTTCTTCATTGGTTCATAACCAAACATGGCCCAGTTGGGTAAGATGCATCCCAGGGGACTGCATTAGGGGACGGAGTTAGATATACAGTTCCCCTTGATAATACAGAGGATAGAACTTCTTTTCACAGTAACAAACCAAGTCATTTTAAAGACAAAAATTTTGCACTAGTTTAACTTTTGATGTTTTAAATCCACTTACTTGATTAGATTTCTTTCAGTCTTACTCAGTTAAACCACACAAAATTTCCTCTCAGGTTTTCACAAACCTCCTACAACTTTTCTAATCCCTCTTAAGTTTGTCTCTTCTTACTCATTCAGAAGTAACCATCCTTAGTTTAGGACAAATTACTTTCCTCTAATTCCTTCAAAAATTTTATTTCCATACTTTATGCCTTCTAGAATCTAGAATGTTTGCTGGTCAAATTAAAACCTGAAATAACTTTATCAGAATAACAGTTACAGCCATATAAAATACTGCGTAAATTTAATGAGTACTAGACCACAGTCATTTTATAGGTACTAGTCCATGAATTTTGTAAGTGGTTATAGTACATCTGGATTTCTTTAGAAGATAATAGGTTTCTCTGCACTGGCAAGAGATGACTTTTCTTCGAGAGTATTGACAAGGAGATGGTAATGACCACTGGCAAATTTGGGTGATTAAGGGTGGGTACCCTATATAATAAAAGTGTAATATGCTAATTGTCTAACTGATCAATCGACCATTTGGTTGACTGCTCAACCAGTCACTATGATGTGCACTGACCACCAGGGGGTAGACACTCCAACCGGTAGGTTAGCTCAGTGGTTGGCAAACTGCGGCTCGCGAGCCACATGCGGCTCTTTGGCCCCTTGAGTGTGGCTCTTCCACAAAATACTGCGGTCCCTTCCTGGCCGGCCAGCCCCTTCGGCTAATAGGGACTGGGTGAGATGCCCGATCAGCCCTGATTGCTGGCCAGGCCAAGGGACCCCACCCATGCACAAATTCATGCACCAGGCCTTTAGTATTATATGAAAGAGCTCAGCAAGCTAGAGACTGCTGACAAATCCTTCTAGCAGCCTGTTTTGTATGGCCCTAAAGCTAAGAATGATTTTTGCATCTTAAGAGGTTGTAAAACAAACAAAAGAATATGCCACAGAGACATTACGGGGCTTGCAAAGCCTTAAATATTTACTGTCTGTCCTTCACAGAGAAGTCTGCCAATTCCTAATAAAATATTGGACTAATGATAGAGTAGATAACACTAAGATCTTTTGCAATAAAGGACAGGAAACAACACAAACAGTTCAGTATATGGAAATTTTGTGATTAAATCACTCATGAGCTAGGCTTATATTCAAGATTAGGGTTCAAAGCTATATAGAAAATTGCAATTATAATCAATTTCTCAGGCAAAAAGAGACCTATTAACTAAGTAAACTTAAGATTAATGATATGTAAGTTATAGCTTACTAATAAATTAAAGCCAATTTTATCTCCTTGAGAATAGTGACTATTGGATGGGGAAGCAGCCAGTAAGCCTGCTAGAAAAAGAGGCGCAGGAAAAAACTAGTCTGGGACTAAGAAGTTACCATTGTATAAAGAAACAAACAGGAAAACCACTAATTATCTGCATGTCAAAAGAGTTATGTGTTGTTTTTCATGCTCCATTCCTTTATACTTAATCTAACCACAAGGATAAGCTTTTAAAACTTCTTTTGACATAAGTGCCTTATTGGTAAGAAAATAGCACCACCATCATTTGGACTATGAAGATTTATATTTTTCCTTACTCCTTTAGTGACTGGATGTGATTTTTTATGTATATGTTCCCTTTTGGGAGCTTATTTTTGTGACTATTCTGACTTTTCTTTTGGTTTCTCAGTCACAGAGTACATAATTAATAAAATATTCTGTCTAGAGATAATTTTTATTCTGACCTTCCCAATAGTTCTCTCAAACTTCAAACTATTTGAAGTATCTGTAATTGAGATGCTCCATTTTGTCTTACATATATTTGTTTATTTCTGGTTTGTAACTAAGTGAATTTTTTTTTTCAGATGATTCTTTGGGATTGGGACTTGAAGCAATGGTATAAACCTCATTATCAGGTAAATATCTGATTATCACTGATATCGATAATGAAACTTTTGACATTTTAAGTCACAGTCACAAGACTGCTATGACATAGATTTTCTTTACTTAAACTAAAATAGCCAGAACTTTCATTTAGATAGATTACAACATTTTAATTGTAAGGGGGAAATGAAATGGTAAGAAACCAAGCATATATAATAGTTATACTTAAATGTTGCTATAATAGTCTGGACTCAGGATAAACTAATAATTTTATATTAAGGATGAGATTTCTTTTCTGATTGTGAGCAACTGATCCACACGGGAAAAAAAATAGATTAAAGGCCATATATGAGAAAAAGCAAGACAATTGGCAAAATATTTTATCAGGGAAGCAATATCATTTTGCTCTTTGGAAAATTTTTATTAAATTATATATACAGAAAAGTGAACAGCTTGATGAATTTCCACTAGTACTCATCAAGGAAGAACACTTGGCCAGCACCCCAGAAGCTTCACTTACGCACCATTCTAGGTATTACTTATATCCCCAAAGATGATCTCTTTCCTGATTTCAAGCAGTTAGTTTTGCTAATTTGTGAATTATATATATGTGCGTGTGTGCATGTGTGTGCATGCGTATATGTGTATGTGTATATATATATATATATATAGACTCATTTAATATGTACTCTGTAAATATTTTTGATCACTTAAGTAATATGTGTTTATATCAGAAGAACAGAAAATAGAAGTATAGGAAAAAAAGAAAAATCATTCATAAACATCAGGTAATAACTATGTTATGTTAACAATTTTTGTTCTTGTTAATCCTCACCTGAGGATATTTTTTTCCATTGGTTCTTAGAGTAGAAGGGAGAGAGGGAGGAGGAGGAGAAACATCGATGTGAGAAAGACACCAGCACACAGGCCAACCATGGATCCACTTTTGATGCATATACTTACAAGTCTTTTTCCACTGTATTGAAATGTGTTTGCATATTCTGTTCTATAAAAATTATATTAGATTTAATATGCTTTTATGAAACCTAATGTTTTCCTGTCTTTGAATTTTACATAAATGGAATCAACCACATGTACTTTCTGGTTTGCTTCTTTCAGAAGTTTATCTGTGAGATCAATGCATATCATTGCACATAATACTGTGACCTTACACAGTATGGTTCCTTTACTCGCTTTTACTTCTCTGACCTCATCTTCCTGCACTTTCTCCTTCGTTTACAGCTCCAGCTACACTGGCCTCCTTGTTTTCGCAAACAAGCTGGGCAGGCTTCTGCCTCTACGTTTTCACACTTGCTAGTCTCTCTGCCTGGAATGCTCTTTTCCCACACCTGTCAGATCGGAACAAATTGCAGCCTTATACTCTAAAATTTCAGTGCCCTCCATCACTTCCTTTTCCCTCTCCTTGCTTCTTTCCCTTCAACCTGCTCAAAAACCCATGAATCTCCATTGCTCATATTCCTTAGCCTGGAAGCCAGTGTACTCAAAAATTTGGTCCCAACATGCCTCTCCAACCTTATTTTCCACTGCTCTTTTTTTATTTTTATTTTAAATATGGCCCGTACTTTAATAATTTTGTTTTCTGCACCTTGCTATTTTACCACCTTTTTTTTTTACCACTTTTATACCTTTATTTATTCTCCTTCTTGAAAAATTAGCTCCCCAAAATACATTTTTTGTTTAATTTCACTGTAAAACATTATTTCCCCAATCTTTTATAAATAAAATCCTACCAAATGCTACCTCTTCCGTAAAGTTTCTGTTAACCCTTCATATTAAAGTTATCTATATTTCCTTTGAACTCTAATACTATTTTATTTGTATCTTTATCTCATCATTTCCCATAACATTAATAAGAGTAGTAATATTTAGTGCACTTTTCCTATATGTATTATACTCTGTCTTATGTGCTCTGCATGTATCATCAGATTTAATTCTCTCTGCTTCTCTCTGTTAAGTACAGCTATAAACTCTGGAAATAATGCATGAGGAAACCAAAGAACTCTGAAAAAAAATGGGAAGAGTAAGCTGGCCTCGTTAAGGACCCCAGTAATGGAGGAATAACATAGTGACAGGGTTTCCTACAACCCCCACCCAAAACCAAAAGGTGACTTAGGCCCTCCCTCTCAACCTAGCAACAGAAGGTGTCCCAACGAGGCTCATTTCTTCCCTAAGACTGAATGAGAGTCCTGCAAACAATACCAAGTGAATCTGGTGGCTCTGGTAAAGGGACTTGATCAGGAACGCCACTGGCAATAAGTGTGAGCATCACAGAGTATACTTTCACAAACCTGTATGTGCAGCCTACTGTACACTAGGCTACATGGTATACCATTGTGGTATATGCAGTCTGTCATTGATCAAAATGTTGTTATGAGGCATATGACTGTACTCTCATTCTCTACTGGGCATGAGATCTCCTTCCCAAGTAAGAGACACGGGGTGGCCAGGGGGCCTGGCATAGGGGATACTGCCACAAGTGCCCAGCCCAGAAAGTGTTCTTTGTCCCTGTGGCCTGGAGTCTCCTTTCCTCCACCTGAAGGTACTAGATAGCCCAACCTAAGGAAGTTCCCTCTCCCCCACAGAGGAGGTACCAGCAGGCACCAGTGGGAACCCTAGTGACACCAGGGAAAAAAAAAGACTGAAATAACACTGTGAATGTCCTAAAAATTAAATTGACATTAGATCCCGGCCAGTATGGCTCAGTGGATTGAACATTGTCCCATGCACCAGAAGTTTGATGGTTCAATTCCCAGTCAGGGCACAAGCCCAGATTTCAGGCTTGATTGTGCAGGAGGCAGCTGATCAATGGTTCTCTCTCATCAGTGTTTTTCTCCCTTTCCCTTCCTCTCTGTCTAAACATCAATACAAACATTTTTAAAAAAAAATAGTCATCAGAACCACAGCCTAAAAAAGTAGACCAGGACCTTTGTGTGAAATCTAAACAAGTCTACCTCCTAATATAAAAGATTTAAATAGGACCCAGTCTTCTAGGTCCTATTATTGTGAAGCATTATTAGCCAAAATATTGATGATAAAATAAAAAACACGTGTCATACCAAAAACCAGAAAAATCACAGCTTGAATGAGAAAAAAACTATATTAGTACTTAACACCAAGATGAACAGATTTGGAATTATCTGACAAGGAAATTTAAAGCAGCCATCATCAGAAAATTGCTTCTAACAAGCAGTTACGAATTCATTTTAAACAAACAGAATAGAAAAATCTCAGCAAAGAAATGAAAGTTATAAAAAAGAAACAAATGGAAATTTAAAAACTTGCTGAATGGGCTCAGCATTAGCGTGGTGATGACCGAGGACAGAATCTGCAAGCTCGAGGACAGAGCAATAGAATTTACCCAATTTAAACCTCATAGAGAAAATAGATGGAAATAAAATGAACAGAGCCTTAGGGACCTGAATGACACAACAAAAGATCCAACATTCATATCATCAGTGTTTAGAAAGGAGGGGAGAAAGAGAGTGAGTTTAAAAGAATATTTGAAGAAATAATGACTGAAAACTTCCCACATTTTGCAGAAGACATAATTCTACAAAGTCAGGAAGCTGAGCAAATACCAAATGGGATCACTGCAAAAAAAGTCTCCAAGACAAATCATAATTAAACCTTTAAAAACTAAAGACAGAGGAAATATTTTGAAAGCAGCCAGAAAGAAATGCCACATTACTTATAGGAGAACACCAACTCAAATAGCAAATTTCTCATTTGAGTGTAAGGAAAGTAGATGCTATTATATATAACTCGTGAAGTATATATAATATTTTATATAATACTGGAGGCCCGGTGCACGAAATACACGCAAGAGTAGGGCCTTCCTTCCCCCGTCTGCTGGCACCAGCTCCCTTCTGGCACCCGGGACCCAGGCTTCCCTCTGGCTACCAGCAGGCACCTGGGACCTGGGCTTCCCTCACAGCCCCAGCTTCATCTGGAAGGATGTCCAGTCTAATTAGCAATACCAGTATTATGCTTTTATTATTTTACATTTGACCAACATGTGAGGGAAGGTTTATAGAAATAATCAAATTTTAACATGTTCATTAACTTTGGCTTATCAATTTAAATTATAGCAAGCCATTTGTCAGAAATACTCTTTTTTTTTTTTTATGAGGCCGGTCACTTTTGGGTTTCTTTTTTTCTTTTTTTAATATATTATATTGATTTTTTACAGAGAGGAAGGGAGAGGGATAGAGAGCTGGAAACATCGATCAGCTACCTCCTACACACACCCCCATGGGGGATATGCCCGCAACCAAGGTACATGCCGTCGACTGGAATCGAACCTGGGACCCTTCAGTCCACAGGCCGATGCTCTATCCACTGAGCCAAACCAGTCAGGGCAGAAGTACTCTTAATTGACGAGAAATAGCTAGACTGTGCCCCAATAATGGGGAATTTTTAAAATAAAAACTAACACAAAATAATGCTTCACAAGAAAAACATTTAAAAACCTCCATAGAGCAAAGACATTACTTAGCTAATTACTGGTCTCACTTTCATGACATATTTTTTAGTTCTAAAATGTGTTGAGCCATAGCCAGTTTGGCTAAGTGGGTAGAGCATCAGCCCATGGACTGAAGGGTCCCGGGTTCAATTCCAGTCAAGGGCACATGCTGGGGTCACGAGCTCAGTCCCCAGTATGGGCGTGCAGGAAGCAGCCAAACCATGACTCTCTCGCATCATTGATGTTTCTAGCTCTCTCTCCCTCTCCCTTCCTCTCCCTTTCTCTCTGAAATCAATAAAAATATATTTTAAAAGTAAAATGTGTTGAGGCCCAGCTGATGTGGCTCACTGGTTGAGAGTCAACCTCTGAACCAGGAAGTCATGGTTCAGTTCTTGGTCAGGGCACATGCTTGGGTTGCAGCTCAATCCCCAGAAGGGGACATGCAGAAGGCAGCCGAGTAATGATTCTCTCTCATCACTGATGTTTCTATCTCTCCCTCTCCTTTCCTCTCTCTAAAATCAATAAAACATATTTAAAAAATAAATAAAATGTGTTGAGGATAGTTAAAAAGTTTCATGGTGAAATCATTAAATACTTTGAATACTTAAGAATTCCAAATATACTTAAATGTAAATTCAAGATACAATAAAACAAAAGTAACATTTAATTCACTATTCTGATTATCAGTGTTCTTATTTCTATGGTTTATTTCAGTGATGGCGAACCTATGACACGCGTGTCAGAGGTGACACGTGAACTCATTTTTTTGGTTGATTTTTCTTTGTTAAATGGCATTTAAATATATAAAATAAATATCAAACATATAAGTCTTTGTTTTACTATGGTTGCAAATATCAAAAAATTTCTATATGTGACATGGCACCAGAGTTAAGTTAGGGTTTTTCAAAATGCTGACACGCCAAGCTCAAAAGGTTCGCCATCACTGGTTTATTTAGTTGAATAAAATTTATATAGAATTTCAAAAGTAGAAAACATGTATACATTAATGAAATATTTATTTTTAATTTTAGAATATATTTTCTACCCATTTTTTAGGACCCAGCCTGATGCTTTTCTAATTCCATGAATTTTTTGTTAACCATTTAATTCAATGTTATCACCGTTTACTTTGAACTGTAATACCATTTTTCTGTACTCTTATCTCATTATTTTCCATAATATTGATAGTAATACTGTTACTTGTTACACTTTAAATATATGTACCACACATTGCTTTATGTGCTTTGCATGTATTAACAGATTTAATTTTCACATTAGCCCTTAATAAAGTAGATGCTATTATCCCATTTATAGTGAAGAAACTAAAAAGTTCAGATGTTAAATGACTTGCTCAGTCACACAATTAGGGTTAAAGTCTAGATTTCAAACTCATCTTTGCAACAAAGCTTTGTCACTGTGCTAGAGTGACAAAGGTAAATGAAAGAAATGCTATATATGTTTAAAAGAAATTTTGACATAAAGGAAAAGAAATCATCAATAAATTAATGCAATCCTCTAATTGTAGATTTTGAAATTATTACAAATTTAGTTTTATGCTAGTTAGAGTCAGTAATGAATACTATTAAATATAGCTAAGCTAATGAAAAATATAGAAAAAATTAAAATTCACATTATCTGCTACATCAACATCAAAAATTTTAAAGTGATAATTATACCATTTGTTATATAATTTATATCCTGTCCAAATTAATGAATATTAATATTTAATAGAATTAAGTTATTTAGATATTATTAGAATAGACCTTGACTTTAAAATAGAGGAAGTTTATCTTAATTGTTGAATTTTCTGTGTAACAAATATATAATTTTACTTTTCTTTTCTAGAATTCTGGAGGTGGAAGTGGAGTTGATCTTTCTGTGCTAAATGAGGCTCGTAATATGGTGTCAGATCTTCTGATTGATCCAACCCTTCCCCCTCAAGTCATTTCTTCCCTACGGAGCATCAGTAGCTTGATGGGTGCTTTCTCAGGTTCCTGTAGGCCAAAGATTAATCCTCTCACACCGTTCCCTGGATTTTACCCTTGCTCAGAAATAGAGGACCCAGCGGAGAGAGGAGACCGAAAACTTCACAAGGTCAAAACACAGTAATCAGCCAGCCCGATTTATCACATTTGATTATATTTTCAAATTAAAACTGCTCTTTAAAATCTTATCTAAACTGAAATTTCTTTTTCAAAGATCAGTTTCTTTTCCAGTATATTGAGCTCCTTGGATCTTTAAAAGTAGTTACAATCTCAAATAATTTAAACAAGTATTCAATTTTTATTCCAAGTAGCATTGCTGTAATTAGCAGTTACAACTGCAGCAGTAACAACTATTTATTGCTATTGTTGTTGTTTTTAAGTACTAGAGCAAAAAAGCAATCCAGACTTGTACAACATACAGTGGGGCCTTGACTTACGAGTTTAATTTGTTCCGTGATGGAGCTCATAACTCAAATTACTCATATGTCAAATCACTGTGATGTTCGCTGCGCCAACTAGCTGTGGGGTATCTGAAGCTGGCTCGTAACCCGAATTTTTTTGAGCTTGCAACTCAAAGCAAAAAATCGGCCGAGAGACGGCTCGTATCTCAAAAAAACTCGTTAGTCAGGACACTCGGAAGTCAAGGCCCCACTGTACTAGTAGAGTAGTTATGTCATTAATCTATTTTATTCTTTAGAATCCTGGGATTGTTCTTGTTGAACCAAGAAGAAATGATCATTATAATGTTCATTTTATGCATTATGTAGCATTATGTACTTTAAATTAATTTTTACATTTTTTAAAACCCTTCCCCCCCTTCTTTACCCACTAGAAATTGCTACAGCCCAATAGGCATTGATTTTTCCATCGTCAAAAATGGGATTAATTTAATTTTCTAAAAAGGCATACATTGTGTTTGTCCAGAGTGCTTTTAATTGTTTTATTTGACTATCAATATCTTTACCAATTGCTAAAATCATAAAACTAAAAATGGAAACATTTTGGACATTGTTCTCGTTTAACTACTTTGTTCTACAGGTAAAGAAACTAACCAAGAGAAGATAAAATTCAAATCAGTTTGTTTTTGTTTACTCATAATAGTGTATATAGAGCTTAGGAAAAGTTAAATATACTTTTTGGAGGGATTTTGATTATCAGTTAATTTCATTTTGTTCTCAGTATTAGGGTATAGAAATGTTGAAAAACTAAGCAAGCCCGATTAGGGCAAACGTTTGATAATTACTGATCAGAGCTAGATCATAGGCATTTATGTGATGCTTTTATTTATTTGTTTTTAGAGAGGGAGGGAGAGAGAGAAACATTGAGGTGAGAGAGAGACAGCGATTGGTTGCCTCTTGCACCCACCCCAACTGGGGATTAAACCCGAAACTAGGTATGTGCCCTGATCTGGAATCGAATCTGCAACCTTCTAGTGCACGGGGCAATGCTCCAACCAATTGAGCCACACCAACCAGGGCTGTGATGCTTTTATTTTTTAAAGTATATACAGTATCACCTGCATTAGTCAAAACCCAACTATACCAGTGATACTTAGAAGTTAATCATGGGGTAGCAACAAATTCATCAGTAGAAGAGCTAATATATTCTTGAGTTGGTTTCCACTTGTTCTATTGCTCTTCCTTTGTATTTCCCATTGACATTTGATGTTTAGTAATTTTTAAAAAGTTTTTAAAAAAATCTTAATCATAAAATCATAATTGATAGCATTATTATTACTATGTTTACTGTGTAGAAAAGTGTACTGGTACATTTTAGAAGCATTTAAACAATAATATTAAAGAGCATGCCTAAATGCCTCATTTCTTGAACATTTCTAGTTAATCGGGCTTATTTTGGGTCCTGGAATCGATTGGTAAAAGTAAGTCAGATAAGAATCAGGATGTAACCCTTATTTTTCGTAGTGTTCTTGAAACTTCTTGTTTGAATTTTATATCTAATTTGTCTCTGCTTTTGGAAAAGAAGCCTAATGTTACTTAAGAATAGCAGTATTTATGAAAAAATAACTAGTAAGGAAAAGGGAGTTGGAATAGATACTTTAATATAAATGTCTCATATACTGTGCTAAGAAACAAGACAGATTATATGAACCTAAATTTCTAACTAACCACAAACCTTTACTAAATCAACATCCTTGGGAAAACTGTAAGAGATCTTTATCTCTCTGAGATGGTTTCAGTGTGTGCCGGTAGAGGAAATTCATAAGAAAGAAACTTTTCTGTATATCTCAGTAAAACACCTATTCACAGTGGTAAAAAATAGAACATTTTCAAAAATTAAGGTAAAACTGTATTAAGGCTAAAGGTGTTCTGGATTTAGTCATTTGTTCAAAAAACAGCTCAGAATCCTACAGTTTCTCCAGATTAACCTCTATGGACATTAGCCCCGGACTGAAAATATGAAAGGTTCAGGACAATCCCTGATCTTAATTTTGTCCTCTGAAGTTGTTTATTAGGGTACATCTTTCATATCTACTTTTTAAATTATCAACTGTTTATTTCTCATGATACTAGGAATAAATGTGCAAAAGAAAAAATATCTAGTTAAATTGTAGGGAGCTCAGATATCATTTTTTAGTACTAGAAGGATAAAGTAGAACAGTATAGAATGTGAAGTTTGGAGCAAAATTGACATACTTTCAGAATAAAATGTTCTGTTTCTCCAGTACATATTAAAAATATACTTTGTATTGATTTTTATGTGACATCTTTAATACATATACAGATATTATAGGGTGGCGATTCACTGTTCAATTATCCAACAGGGACTACACAGTAGGAATAGTTTACCAACTCCACAGCTGAGGAGGAGCTCGGGAACTTCAAGTCTGCCCCCCGTTGAACCTCCTTCTTCAAGGTGGGAACGCAATAATGGCAAAAGGCCTCACCAAGAAGTTGGCATTTCAAGGTAAAATCACCAGAGCCTGTTAAAGAAATCTGAATCTGATACATTCGCTTTGTTTCTGTGAATGAAGTTTGAAATAGTTCTAAAAGCGGAAAGGAACAGTCGACGTACTTGTTTAGGTATAGGACAGCATACCTAATATGACATAATAGAGAAAGTGATTCTTAAAAAGAAGGACCCGTCTTATCCCCAAACTTAGGTAAGTTGGGACCTGAAAGGAAGTTAGGATCCATTTAGTACAGGGTGCTGGGAAAGCTTATAAATTAGTAGAGGTGGCCCCTACAGGAGCGGTCACTAGGTCCAGTGCATGATGCCTAAAGTAGGGCAACAGTTACTGACTTGTGAGAGGAGGAGCACATTCTCAGATGTTAAGTATCTTTGAAAGGCACCAGTAACTGTGAAACTGAGAAAATGCCAGGAGCCAAAATCTGAATGTAAATATATCCTTTACACTGATCACAAAAGATTAAGTGCTTTGTCTTAAAAGCCAGAAAAGATAGTGATCTCTTGTGATCAGGAAAGATAAGCTTCTATTTAGTCAGTCACCTGGTTATATTAATAAAATTGGTATTAGTGTAAATTTCCTGTTAAACCACTGTTCTTACTGAGCATGTTTTACTTTTAGCTTGAGCTAGGTAGTTACACATTTAAAACACTAGGTGGCAGAATTGGATCATAGCTATTTGTTAAAATTGGTTAGTATTTATATGTGAATTATGACCAAATAATTACAATTTTCCAGATTATTTAGTGATTTATTAATTTGAATCTTCTATAATATATTGAAATAGATGGACTTCTTGTTTATTGAAAATATTGTGTGAAATGGTAAATAAAACAGGAATGGATTGAGGTATGAATACAGTACAGGAAAATGAGCTTTGGTCCAAAGCTTGCTCAGAGCCTGAACATGATAGTTTTTGTTTGTTTTTTCCCTAATGGAATCAGGATATGAGGAAGTAAATGATGTTAGAAACTGAAAATATGAAAGATATTTCTTAACCATGGGAAACATCATCTTGAGAATATTGGATTTAAGAAACGATGAAAATGATTCAGTTTTTCATTTTCTATCACACTAATGTAACAGCAATACATTTGCAATTAAATAAATGATGGATATCAAAATAGAAACACAGTCCAAAGAAAACTATCTTTAACTCTGAAAAGTGTTCATATAAAGGTATATGTAGGCCGATTTGATATACTTAACTGTCATAAAAGATTTTAGGAATTTGGAGAATAAAGATATTGGTGGTATTATGGAACATCTACTTTAAAGAGATAAGGTTAGAAGTAATTTTTTTAATGTGGAGAAGCTGGAGCTTACTTTGAACATAGGATAAGATGGGAAGATATGAAGCATTTACAGCCATTACTACTTTTGAAATTCAAGTTTCTAGATCAGCACTGTCCAATAGAAATTTTGTGATGATGGGAATATTTTACTAGTATGTCTTATCAGTATGGTAGTTCCTAGCTATTGATCACATGAAATGTATCTAGTATGACTAATCAACTGGATTTAAATATGAATTTAATTAAAATGTAGAGCTATATGTGACTACCATATAGGCATATAGAGCAGTCTTATTAAACAGCAAAGCTAATTATCTTTAAAGTATGGTGATATTTTGTTTAGCACAAAAGTAATAGACTTGTGACTCTGGAATCATGAGACATCCATCCTGTCTTTAGTAGAGTGCTCAAAAGCTGAGATCACATATCCTAGATTTGTGAGTCTTGATTTGGATGCAGCTTTGGGTTCTGATCATAGCCTCTCTGTGATCTTCAATGACCCTGACTCTGCTTTCAACATTGTTTCATTATTGAACCTCTTATTCCCTGAAAATGTCTGAAACCAAATTTCTCAGCCCCCCAGTTGCTTTTTTGTTACTGTCATTCTGGTCTTATTTCCTGGCACAAAGCTTCCCTTTGGTTGCTTACAAAATTGACTTACCTAGAAAATGGGGTTATCTTTGCATCCTGTTTCCTTATTCTGCAGGTACCAGTTGTCAACTCTATCTTTGATTCTCTTTTTTTCTCTATTGCTTATTCTCCTGTCTCACTTTGCCTACACCATTTCATGCTTTCATTACTCCTTACTTGGGCTATTGAATTATCCTCCTAATTGGTCTTCCCATTTCTAATATCCTTAACTCTCCAATCCATCTTCTAACCTTCAACCAGAAATCTTCCTTAAACAAAACTTTGATTATAGGTTTTCTAGTCATTAAATTTTTGGACCAGTGCCTATAGAATTGTACCCAAATTCCTAGCCTGGGATTCAAAACCCTGTTATTCCCTCAGGACAAAGATCACCCCTTCCTTGGAAAAGTTAAATGGACTAAAAGAATAAGAGAGATAAGTAGTCTTGCAATGAATGAGAATAGAAAAATTATTTGGGAAGCTGTCTAGGTAAAAACAATATGTAACTTGTGTTAGACTTTCCTTGAAGTTTTCTGATAATTTTAACTCCATTTGAAATTTAAGCTGCATTATAATTTCCAGCCTAGCTTATTTGTGTACAGAGTAATATTTAAATTTTCCTTTTCTTCATGCCTTGCCTGGAGAAAAAAAAGTAAAGTATTCTAAACCTTATCATAGCTATGATAAGAGGAATCTTAGGGAAGAAAACCATAAGGAAGAGGAAGAGTTATTCCTCCTTGAATAGCCACTTAAGGATTTGGTCATCTCTTAAAAGGACATGAGATTTTACTTAATTAAAAGGGCCATTGCTTGACAACATAAAAATACCTCCAATATCATCTTTCTCTAACTGAAACTCAGTCAAGCTTCACTTGTCGTCTTCTGTGCCCCCCTTTACTTGTGCCCTTTACTCTCATTTCTGTACATCTTTAAAAATTGAGCTCATCCTATATAATAAAAGATTCGGTGGCGCAAGGCCCTCATGCGATGTCATCACAAGATGTCTAGCAGGGGAGGGCAGTTGGGGGCCCATTAGGCCAGAGGGGGGCAGTAGGGGGCAAGATCAGGCCAGCAGGGGAGGGCAGTCGGACACCCCCCAAGGGTCCCAGATTGGAGAGGGTGCAGGCCAGGCTGAGGGACAGCCCCCTCCCGTGCACGAATTTCGTGCACCAGGCGTCTAGTCTACTATAAGGAGCTTCTTCATCAAAACCTCAGCTCTTAGCTTTCTCTAAGTCTGCAGTCAAATATTCAGGGCCAAATTGTGACAAGTCTAGAACAGGTACCAAAGGCACTGTGAACGTTGCTTTAGCAGCCTCTTTCACTGCTCCTTCAGCCAGATGTTTCCTTTAGCCACTTCAGTGTCCTCTTTCTGGTGCTGGAGAAGTGCATAGCCGCCACCTGTAAAGGACAGCTTCTAATAATTTTAAAATTTCTGTGGCATGCTTAATTTCCTTCTTATTGGAGATTAATCGTCCTTTTTCTTTCCAGACTGAACAGTGCATGCAAAATTAGGAGAGCATACTTCCAGTCGGTATACACATTCATTCTCTTTTGTATGAAAATTCTAATGCCTGCGTCAGTGCAATCCGTTCAGCTTTCTGAGCAGAGGTTCCCAGTGGTAACCTCTTTTGGTATTGGAAGTAACCTGTTTCCTTTATCCATCTAACTGCTTCCATCTGCATATAGAGTCCAGTCTGCCTCTTCTAGTGGCAGGTCCTATAAATCAATTCTGCCAGAATAACCTTCAACAATTATTTTAGAATGGTCATGCATTAGCGTGGCAGAGTCGAGTTGGGAGAAAGTAGGCAGGAGTTAACTTACAGTTTTGAGGGAGATGTTGGGATTGTTGAGAAGAATTGTTTGGTACCTGCCCATTCTTCCAGCAGTGAGCCACAAATTCCCTTTTTTCTCTAGCAGCTCATCACTTGGTGGGATATGTAAATGGGGATAGACTCTTCCCAGGAAAACTTTTCCGCTTCCTATAAAAGCTCCCAGGTGGCTGCCACAGCTCTCCAGCAGGCTGGCCACCCTAGGATAGTGTGATCTAGTTTCTTTGACAAGTATGCCATGGATTGTGGAATGTCAATAAGCATTTGGTGAGGAATCCCAGGGCAACGCCCTGCCTTTCATGAACATATAATTGAAAGGGCTTTAGTAGGTCTGGAAGCCCCAAGGCTGGTGCAGAAGCCAGGTGCGCCTTCAGGGACTCAAAAGCCTGAGTGCACTCCTTCATCCATTCTAAAGGGCAATCTTCTGGTCCTTTCTGATATTCATACAGTGGTTTAGCATTGAGCCCAAAGTTCGGTCGGAATCCAAATGTAGTAGCCCACCATTTCCAGGAATTCTCTTAACTGTTTCCTGTCAGTCTTTTTTTTTTAAATCCTTACCTGAGGATATTTTTCCCATAGATTTCTGGAGAGTGTAAGGGAAGGAGGAAGTGGGGGTGGGGGGAGAGAGAGACACGTCGATTGGTTGCCTCCTGCACGGACCCAAGACAGGGAACCCACAACTGAGTTACCTGAAAAAACGTGCCCTTGATGGGGAATCGAAACTGTGACCCTTCGGTCCACCAGGCCCATGCTCTCTAACCACTGACCTAAACTGGTCAGTCATTTTAGTAAGATCATCCCTTTAAGAAGGACTTGAGTTTTTCCAGTTTAAAGATCTGCTGTAGAAAATGTAGTTATGTGCCCAATAATATCCAGCGGGCTGGGCCTCTGGCCCTACTCCCACTGGAAGTCTTCACAAAGGGTATTGCCCTGGCCCAGTAGGAACTTGTCCTTCACCAAATTTGGTTCCCTGGCAGGTTCTAGAGACAGACCAGTTCAGGCTCACCTCCTCCTGCAAGAAGGAAGATCCCCCAGGGCTGGAAGGGCCATGGGGCCATGCTAGCAGTAGCCATAACCTCCAGATCTTCCTGGTCCCCCTCTCCTGAACTTCTGCTGTCTGCCACAGGCAAATTCCCTTTTCTCTGGATTATTAATCTATTTCCTCTTAATCCTGCATCTTTATTATGTAAAGTCATAAAATCTTGAGCATAATTGCAGTATAGTAATTTAAAGACCCATTCTCCAGAGTCCAGATTATACATAAGCCAAGCATTATTACAATAAAAAATCATTTTCTTTTTAGTCATAGTTTTATAGGCATAAATCAGCAAAACTTGCCCCAAAGGGCTGGTTTCCAGATGAAGGCTCCCCTCCCTGCATTCTACCAGACAGAGCTCTGTAATGTCATACAAACCAAACCAGAAGACATCTTAATTCCTGACTACCGACCTAAATCGTAACCTGCGCCTGCAATCCTGACCCAGAGGGTCCCGAAGCAGTCCCACCATTTGCCAGGATAATCGTTGCCTTCTTTCCCCATCTCTCCCACTAGACATGTAGGCAAGGAATGTTCAAACACAAAGAACGGCTGTGCACTTACAGGGAGATGAGTTTACTGGCTGGTATCATTTGCATGTTGTCTCTTTTTGTAAAACTGTCAACAAATTATTATTACTATTGGTTTGAGAAAAAAAATATTATAGAAACTAAAGCTAGATGTTACCTCAAAAGTCCTTAATTCTAAATCTCTTAATTTTACAAATGGAGAGACACACAGAGAGATGGAATTATTCTGTGGAAAAAAACATACACTTTAGATCAAAGAAATTGGAAATTGTATTTTAGCCAAGTGAATTCAGGGATGTAGCTTCTTGAAGCCTTAGTTTCCTTATCTGTAAAATAGGAGACCAACAGAGATAAAGTATGTAAAGTACCTAAAACAATGGATGATATGTGATCAATACACAAAATGGCACATTATTATAAGTTTTGTTATTAATAAAAAACTTTTAATGAATTGGTTGCCAACTGGTTTTATATGTCTTCTTTTTGTAATACAGAATTTTTTTTCCTCTCAGCAGGATATAGAACAAACTAGATTTTTAGAAAAAGGCCCAAGGAGAGCTTTAAAGCAGGAGTTGGCAAAAGAAAGTCCATTCACCCAAAATTGGGGAGCAGAAAAGATATATTCTCTAGAAAAGTGAGACTAGGAACCTAAGGAGATCATTCATTTATTCCACAATCATCTGTTGAACACCTTTTATCAGGCACTGTGCTATATCCCCTGTGAATGTAGAGATGTTTTATAGCCCCTAAAAGAATTCAGAAATTAGTGAGGCAAAAGAATATGTACACAGTGAAATGACAAACTATGGGTAAATGTTGTAACAGAGATATGAACAAAAACCTTTTGGTCACAGAAAAAAATAGATTTTTTTGAGTAACTGGGGTGTGGAAGTGGAGAAAAGATGAAGGAATTGGGGAAGAGCTTGAGAACCTAGCCTATACTAAAAAATATTGAGTGAAAAGTAGAGAATCTAGGTTTGTCCTTGAGCCTCTGGCAAAGTACCCACATTGGGAGATGGTGAACAGAAGAAAACAGATTAGTGAATGTCTAAGACAGGAAGGTAACATTTATGTTGTACTTGATAGCCACATGGCACTAGGTCAGAACCTTAAATATATAATTTTAACTTCATGTATTTCATTGGTATGATTGCCTGCCTATATTTAATTTCTTCATAAGAGCCCTAAAACCTATAATAAATATTTCAGTTATAAGAAATGACTGACTTATACATGATCTCACTCATTTGTGGAATATAATGAACAACATAAACTGATGAACAAAAACAGATCCAGAGACTGAGAAGCATTGATCAGATGCTCAAACCTCAGAAGGAAGGTTGGGGAGGGTGGGGGTAAGGGGGAGAGAGATCAGCCAAAGGACTTGTATGCATGCATATAAGCATAACCAATGGACACAGACACCAGGGGATGAGGGCATGAGTAGGGGGAGGGAGGGGGCAATGGGGGGGATAAGGACACATATGTAATACCTTAATCAATAAAAATTTTAAAAAAAGAAATGACTGACTTAATGGATAATCAGTATCTGTGGAGAGAACAGAAAATAGTGAAAACAACATTAGCATTTCCTCTAAGAACTTATTAGAAATGCCGATTATCTGGTCCTAACCCTGGTTTACAGAAGCAGAAATCCTGGGGGTGGGACTAGCAATCTGTGTTGGAAGAAGCAATCCAGATGATACCGATATCCAGCTATATGCTAGGGTTTAGCAATGTAACCCATTTTTGTAAATAAAATTATATTGAAACACAGTCATACTTATTTATTACTGTCTATGGCTGCTTTTATGCTACAATGGCAAAGTTGAGTAGTTGCAACAAAGACCTTATGGCCTGCAAAGCCATTATTTGCTAATTGAATTGAAGACCATGAATAAAAATGAGGAAATTTCCCAGTTTTAAAATTGTTAATCTATTGTCTTTCCCTTTTAGTCAAGGAGGCTACTTAAACGGGCCTTATAGTTCAAACCCACCGACAATCCCGAAGCAAAGGTCAGCATCTATATCGCTGTCTCACCATATAGGTCTAAGAAGAGCTGGTAAGTTCTCATTTTGTTTTATGATTTAAATGTGGGAGGTCTCAAAGTATATGGTAGTGCAAAATTTTTTCATTACACATTAATGACTAATTTTGAAGACTATTTTATGTGTTGTAAGTTAACATGACTAAGCAATTGAGTTGGCTATTAGATCACAATTTGCTCATTCATTCAGACACCTTTTTTAGTATCTCTATGCCACGAACTCTATTAGGCACTAGGGATTCGGTGGGGGGGGGGGGGGAGGAGGAGGATAGAACTATTTAATTAACCTGAATTTTTGTAGACCCCGACTCCCATATCCAGAACAAGGGAAAATCCCCAGAAAAGGGTATTCAGTAGCCTGGAAATTACGGAGAGAAAAAAAAAGTCTTACCATGAGAGTAGAAAGAACCCTGAATATATCCTAAGCCATCCTAAATAGGAATTTTCTGTTTATTTACTAATTTGAGGTATAATTAATCTATAACATTACATTAGTTTCATGTGTACAACATAATGTTTTGTATATATTGCAAAATGATCACACAATTAGTCTAATTAGTATCTCTCAACATACATAGTTTAAAAAATTTTCTTGTGAGAAATCTTAAGATCTACTCTCAGCAACTTTCAAATATGCAAAACAATATTACTAACTATAGTCACCATGCTGTACATTACATCCCCGTGACTTATTTGTTTTATAACTGGAAGTTGGTACCTTTTGATCCCTTTTACTCCTTTTGCTTTAAAACTTATTGAATGAAATATTTTATAGATACAACATAGTCATAAGAGAACAGCACTGATATTCTGATTTTAAACTACACTGTGTGTGGTTTGGGGCAGTAAGATGCACAATCACAAAATTCTTTTATATACAATGTTTGGCCTATAATAAAAACTGAAGTGTGAAGAGTCAGGAAAATATTATTTATAAGCAAGAAAAATAGACACTAGGAGGACTTCTAAATATATATTGTTGTTGGATTTTAAAAAGTCTTTAACATAACAATGTTTTTAAAGAAATAGAAGGAAAGATGGACAAAATGGATGACAAGATCAACAGGGAATTAGAACACATAGAAAAGAAACAATGAACAGAGTGAAATATTTAGTCTTGAGAAACAAGCACCAACCTATAATTCTGTCCCCTGCAAAATTATCCTCTGAAAGTGAAGGAGAAAAATACTTTTTCAGAGAGAAATTGAGGGAACTTGTTGCTAATAGATCTGACTTGCAAAAGATGTTCAAAGAAGTTCTTTAAAGAGAAGGAAAGTAATATAGGTCAGAAGTTTCAATCTATAGAGAAAGGAAGAGCATTGAAGGAAAAAAAATCAAGGTAAAGTAAAAACTTATTTTTCTTATATTTATTTGGTCTACAGATAACAAAGGCTGCCCTTGTTTAATTTGTTTGGAATGAGAGTAACAATGTATTTGAACTTGTGTGCTTATATATATATATATTTTATGTGTGTGTATACTAGTATATATATGTATATATTTATTTATGCTTATATATAAGTGAAATGAATGACAGCAATGATACAAGAATGGAAGAATTAGCATTATTTTGTTATTTTAACGGAACGTTATTTGAAACTGGATTCGAGTTAGTTGTAAATGTATATTGCAAACTCTAGGGCAACCATAAAAAAGTAGAAAACAGAATCTATTTATAATGAGTTCAGGAGCGTCACTCAACAAATAATCAGAAACAATAAAACAAACAAAACCAGCAATATAACAAACCTTGGGGGTATGAAGAGTCTGATACCAGAATTGTTAAATGTTCAGTTTGCAAAAAAAATTATGAAACATGCAAAGAATCAAGAAATTTTTGCCATATATACAAGTAAAAACAAGTAACAAAATATTTCCCTGAGGGGGAAATTGGAATTTGGACTTAGCAATGACTTTAAATCTGCTATTATACATATGTTCAAAGAACTAAAGGAAATCATAGCTAACGTTTTTAAGAAGAATATGTCAATAATGCCTCACCAAAGAGAACTATAAATTATAAAATTATAAAATAATTTTAATAACTATAAAATAATTGCCACTTCTACTTAATACTGGATTGGAGATTCTAACCAGGGCAGTCAGGTAAATAATTAAACCTATATTTGCAGATGACATAATCATATATTCATAAAATCCCAAGAAATTCGTTAACATCTTTTACAACCAGAAAACAAGTTCATCACTGTGGCAGGTTACAAGATCTGTATGTAAAAATCAATTGTATTTCTATTTACTTGCAATAAACAATGCAAAACAGAAATTAAGAAAATAATTCCATAAATAAACCTTTACATGGTCAACTGATTTTCAACAAGGGTGCCAAGATAATTCAGTGGGGAAGGAATAGTGTTTTTAACAAACGGTGTTGGAACAACTGGATATACACATGCAAAAGAATGAATTTGGAACTCCATATGTCATCATACTTAAAAATTAACTCAAGATGCATCCTAGACTCAAATGTAAGGGTTAAACCATAAAACTTGTAGAAAACAGAAAATCTTTGTGGCTGTAGGTATTGAGTAAAGTGTTTTTGGATAAGACACCAAAAGCACAGTCCATAAATGGAAAAAATTGATAATTGGAATTCATTAAAATTAAAAACATCTGTACTTCAGCAAACACCTAAAAAAAAGAAAATAAAAGACAATGCACAGGATGGGAAAAAAATACTTGCAAATAATATATTTGACAATGGACTAGTATCCAGAATATATAGAAAGATGTTTTACAACTCAATAATAAAAAGACAAAAGATCTCATTTAAAAATGGGCAAAAAATCTGAATAGATGTTTCTCCAAAGAAGATATAAAAATGGCCCATAACCACATGAAAAGGTGTTTAGCATCATTAATTAGGAAAATGCAAATCAAAAGCAATGAACTATGACTTCACACCCACTTTGATGTCTTTAATTATAAAGACAGACAATAACAAGTGTTGATAAAAATGTCCAGAAGTGGAACACTCCTACATTGCTGCTGGGAAAGTAAAATGTGACAGCATTATACAGCATTGAAAACGAATGAACTACAGTCACATGCTACTACATGGAAATATCTCTTTTTTTTAAATATATTTTATTGATTTCTTACAGAGAGGAAGGGAGAGGGATAGAGAGCTAGAAACATTGATGAGAGAGAAACATCGATCAGCTGCCTCCTGCACACTCCCCACTGGGTATGTGCCTGCAACCAAGGTACATGCCCTTGACCGGAATCGAACCTGGGACCCTTGAGTCCGCAGGCTGATGCTCTATCCACTGAGCCAAACCATCTAGGGCGGAAATATCTTTTTAAAATGTCAATTAAGCAAGGCATAGAAGCATTTATATATACTATCCTATATAATAAAAGGCTAATATGCAAATCGACTGGACGGAGGAACGACCGGTTGCTATGACATGCACTGACCACCAGGGGGCAGATGCTTAATGCAGGAGCTGCTCCCTGGTGATCAGTTGCACTCTCATAGGGGGAGTGCTGCTCAGCCAGAAGCCGGGCTCACGGCTGGCGAGCACAGTGGTGGTGGCGGGAGCCTCTCCACAGCAGCACTAAGGACGTCCAACTGCTGGCTTAGGCCCACTCCCCATGGGCTTTCAGACATCCCCCGAGGGCTCCCGGACTGCAAGAGGGCACAGGCTGGGCTGAGGGACCCTCCGAGGGCACGAATTTCGTGCACCAGGCCTCTAGTCTGATATAATTTACAAAGATAAAGGGAAGAACTCATCTAAATTGTTAAAAGATACATATACACACATGGTATAAATATAAAGAAAGGCAAGAAAAACGGTATTACAACAGTCAAAATAATGATTTCCTTTAATGGGAGGGAGGGCAGTTTAGGAAGTGTTTCTGGTCTAGAGCCCTGTTTTATGTCTTAGTTTGAATGATAAGCATTCCTGTTGAAACTTTTCTGTGTGCACATTATGTTTCATAATATATATATATATATACACACATACATACGTACATATATATGTGTATGGATGTATTTGTGTGTGTGTGTGTGTGTGTGTGTGTGTGTATATATATATTTTTTTTTACCGGTAAAAATCGTTTATTATAAAACCATTGAAACTTCCCATAAAAGATCGAGTTTGCAATAATGTGAACGGCACAGAATTAAGAACCATTGCCCCACACCCTTCCTCAACCCCATTTTCATGGCACAAACAAAACTAGATGGAGCCCTTAGCCACCTGACCTCCAGGCCAGCATTCCTTCCAAAAGCAATGCCATCCTCTCCCGAGGTCAGCCACAAGCAGGCCGGGCTTAAACAGAGCGCCCCGAGGCCAGCGCAGAACTTTGCAGCCGTCTGGCCCTCGTTCTGGCTCGATTTCCGCGAGTCCGAAGCAGGACAGCCATGCTCATAATCAGGGACGGCACAGCGCACCGGTGCAAGGCTGTCCAATAACGAAGAGTAGGACTCTGCATAATGTATGAAACATAATGTGCACACAGTTTAAAATAAAAATGGATCTATATTGTAGGAAATCTTTCTTAAGGGTTGCTAGGTTTTTCTCTACCATTTTTTCCTCTCCTTGAAGCTTTTCTATATCAAATTTCTACCCTAAGGTTATTTATCCTTTAGTCTTCTCAGCCTATTTTTCTGGATTTTTTAACATTTGCTGGTATCATTAGAGAAAAGAATGCTGAAAATTTGAGCTTTTTTATCCAGTTAGTAACTAACCGTTATGACTTTGACAAGCAAGGCCTTTTCCCTCTCTAGTCTTTAGTTTCTTCTTCTGAAACATTACACTGTTTGACCAGAATATTTATAAAACCCCATTCAGCCCATATAAGATTTCTAGGAGCCTCTCAATAAATTAATCTAATAGAACAGCAGTGACAGCCCTTTTTAGAGTGTTTCCTCACAGTGTTAACTGCTAACTAAATTAAGATCCTTAGGGAAACTTTTTTTTTTGGTAGTATTTTTTCTTCACATATAAAATGAAAATGCTACTTAACTCACATTGTTACTGTGAAGATTGAATAAAATTCCATCGTATCAGTCAAGGTTTTCTAGAGAAACAGAACTGTTAGGATGTGTGTGTGTGTGTGTGAGCACATACATAACATATATATGCATGTATATAGAGAGGAAGGGGGTGCACAAAGGATTTATTTTAAGGCATTGTTTTGTGAGATTGTGAGGGCTATAAGATCTGAAATTTTTAGTACAGGCTGCCAGCATGGAAATTCTAGCAGCGTCCAAAGGCAGTCTGACCCTAGCCAGTTTGGCTCAGTAGATAGAGCATCAGCCTCTGGACCAGAGAGTCCCAGGTTCAATTCCGGTCAAGGGCATGTACCTCAGTTGCAGGTTCCTCCAGGGCCCGGGCTCTGGTGGGGGTGTGTGCAAGAGGCAACCAATTGATGTGTTTCTCTCTGTCTTTCCCTCTCTCTTCCACTCTCTAAAAAAATCAATGGAAAAATATCCTTGAGTGAAGATTTAAAACAACAACAAAAAACAAAGGCACTCTGGAGGCAAATTCCTACCTTTTGGGAAGACCTCAGCCTTTTCTCTGAAGGCCTTTAACTAATTGAATGAGGCCAACTCACATTATGAAGGATAATCTGCTCTACCCAGACCACTAATATAAATATTAACCACATCTGAAAAATACCTTCACAGCAACATCTAGACGGCTTTTTGACCAAAACAGCTGGGCACCATAGCTTAGCTAAGTTGGCACATAAAATTAACCATCTCACAGTCTCTTAAGTGTTCACCTCTGTGCCTAAAAATATAGGTCCTTAATAACTGTTATTTGCTTTCCTCTCTAATTCATACTTTACTTGGATCTTTATTTCCAAATAAAATTTTAAGTCTGCCTTCTTTCCAGATATACCCATACAGCCTTAGTTCAAAGCACTCAGCAAATTTCTGAAGCACTGTTTTTCCCTTAGCACAAAGCACTTGTTCCTACTCTCCACTAAACTCTAGGTTTGTTGAATTACAGAGATGGTATCTTTTTCTCCATTGTGAAACCCAGCACATTTCCCAGCATGTAGGCTCTCAAGTATTTGTTGAATAAATAAATAAGCTGGACAAATTTGCATATTTTAAGAGGTATGCTGTTGTGTTAACATATAATTTTTATTATATGCTCAACTTGCTTAATGCTATTAAGAAATTGGATTTTTGAATAAAAATGAATTTTATTGTACTGGAAAATATTCAATAAAATTTGGTAAAAATACTCTGCTCATGTAGATAATCAAGCTGGCAGGGACACAAAATGTAAAAGGTAAAGAATTAGGAAAATTTGTGCCGAACAGTATGTACATGTTAGTTCTACTCTTAGTATTCACCTGTAATGTGCTATCCTGCCACGGGGTGTTTATTCCCAGTCACTAATGATGACCAATATGGTCTATTTTCTGCTTAAATTTCTAGAATGTCTTGAAGATAGAGCTCCATCTACCAGTCTATTTTATCATTTAATTGTAAATACTTTGCTTTATTTAAAGAAGGAAAATACTCTTTATAAGTACACAAACATAAACAATAAACACCATACACAAGCATGATTATTTATCTATCTCTTTCCTCTCTTTTAACTTTCCAAGGTGTTTTACCCAGCCTGAGTCCTGTGAATTCTCCTGGCCATGGACCACCAGTGTCTCCTGGCTCTCTAACTAGTCGATCGCCTATAGAATTTCCTGATACTGCTGATTTTCTTACTAAGCCAAGTGTTATTTTACACAGATCTCTGGGCAATGTACCCACTTTACCAGATTTTTATCAACAACTTAGAAATTCTGATAGCAATGTATGTAACAGGTAAGTTTCCCAAACGTTTATTTGTTTTACAATATATGTTAAAGTATTACTAATATTCTAGTTCTATATAATAACTAGATGATGAATTAAGACTATATTCTCTTCCTTATTTATCTAGTAGAATTTATTCTAAATAAAACTCATCTCAGTGCTGTCATTCATTTTCCAATGAAATGATCTCCATCTGAAGTGAAATATAGTTGTATTCTATTCATTATATCAGTAATTGTAAAAGAATTATTTCGTATGCACTATTTTAGTGCCTGTTTATAATACCCAGTTCATATGGTGTTCATTCTCATTTCTGCTTAGATACTGTTTACTTCAGACATCAATGTTGACTTTCAAAATATGTTATTTTCTTCAGGTTACACAGATGCCTTCTAGATAAATCCTTTTAAATTTATAGAGATTGTATTATTAGAGTGTGTTGCATTTGGGACCTTGGTTAAAAATTGAGCAGATTTTTCTAATTGTACTTAGATTTTAAAATTTTCTCTCATATATTATATATACATGTTTATATATGCATATATATTTCTATTTTATTTTATAAGCTGTGGACATCAAATACTGAAATATGTTTCAACATCTGAATCAGAGTCGAGTACAGACTACTGCAATGGGAAATTAGGTGAGTGTTTAACTTTATGAGCAATTTTTTACATTACTTTTTAGGATGAATAAATGAGTTTAACTTCATTTTATCCACCTTTAAAATGAACATTATGGTGTTTTTTATCTACTTCAAAGAGGAGTTATTAAGAGCCAAGTATAAATAATAGATGGTGAAAGTATTTTGAAGAGTAAAAATGGCTGTACAAATGAATATTGTCTTAGATGCTGGGTTTGGCTCATAAATAGCAAAATAAAGTATAATAATGTTGAAATTTATACTGCACAATCTAATGCCAAAAGGTTTGCATAATTTTTTATGGCACAGAAAGGATTTATTTTAAAATTTAATCATATCATTCTGAAATATTTTTTATGCTCAAACAAAAAAATATCGATGGTGATAAAATTATAGTAGTTTTATAACATTAAACAATTGATTATCAGTCTTCCAGTAATAGTTAACTTGCACCAACATTCCCCCGAAGGTAGGTAGAAAAGCTGTACAAATTATTAACCAAAAAATCTGCTTGAAGCTCCTCAGAAATACCACTAGATCTGGAGGAGGATAGAAGTCCAAAAGAGTGAGTCTGGAGTTTGAGGCTACCAAAAGGGTGTTTGCCAGAGGGCCAGGGACTGGTAAAATGAGCAGTCCTTTTGGTAGCGTCACCCTAGGAATATAAAAAGTACAGAAGTAGGTAGGTCCTTTCAGGGATTGTAGGCTCCTAGGAATCTCTTTACATAGTTATTCATTTTAAAATGTGCAATTCAATAGTTTTGGCTCTTACACTGTAAAGTGCTGTTAAAAAAAACAACAACAAAGACCAATTCTTTAAAAAAAAACAACACCTCTTCCAAAAAATAGAAGAGCAAACTTCCCACTCATTCTGTAAGACCAGTATTACCCTGATACCATAACCAAAGGCATCACAAGAAAACTACAGACCAGTATGTCTTATATGTATAGACACAAAAATCCTTAACATAATACTAGCAAACTGAGTCCAACAATATATAAAGCAGTCACATCATGATGAAGATATGTTTATCCCAGAAATGCAGGGGCAGTTTAATATTTGAAATCAATCAGTATAATATACCACATTTTTTAAAAAGAGAGAAAAAACACATGATAATCTTAATAGATGCATAAAAAGCATGACAAAATCAAACAACACTACTTCATGATAAAAACACTTAAAATAGTAATAACGGCGATTGGTTTCCTCCCACATGTGCCCCAACCGGGGCAGGGGATCGAACCTGCAACCCAGATACCTTGACCAGGAATTGAACCCGAGACTTTTCAGGGCATCGGCCAACACTCTACCATTGAGCAACACCTGCCAGGGCTCAACATTATATTTTTAAGAAACATACATATTGTTGCATGTGATTGTAGTTCTTTCTCTTTGCTCTGTAATGTTCAATTGAGTACACTAGTTTATGTATTCTACCGTTGATTAGTTTTGGAAAAGTTTTTTGTTCAGGATATTACAAATAGAAGAAATAGGAATACTTTTATACATGTGGATGAATACTATTTAGCTAACAGTGCTGCTTCTGTTTTCCATGTGATTTGAGAAAATGTGATTTTAATCACATTGGTAGAGAAATAATTCACACTTACGATACTATGTTTTAATTTTTTTTTACCTAGATGTTATATTCTTTTATAACTTCCTTCAATGGCATATTTTCTTTTCTTTTCTCTTAATTTTAATTACAGTTTACATTTAATATGTGCTTTGGTTTTTAGATGTGCTTTAATCTTATTTTCAGGTTCAAAATACAAACCATTTCAGATGTTAGAAATTGTTTACATCAAATTTGTAAAAAATGATTTGGGGACTTCTTTTTGTTCTCACTTTTATAAAGAATATCCACTCGTCCCTTTCATCCATGAGTAGATATATCAGGTGAAGTGTTTGTATTGCCCGAGCACAAGATGCGTGGGCCAAATAGTCCAGCAAGAAAGGATTAATGGTAATTAATGTTTTAATGTCATTTATTTAGATTTAACACCATAATGGTTCACTTTATCTAGATATTTTTTCAAATAATTTTCTTATGAAACTATCCATGTAGGGGAAGTTTTATTTTTATACATGACTTTTTTTGAAAGGTGATGAAGACAACACCAATTTCTCAAAAGAATCACTCAACCTTACAGAAGCTCAACAGGAAATGGAAACAGAAGACAGAGACTGCAGAAAATTAATTTTGGAAGGTGACACTCACCTAACAGAAGAGGCACAGAATGAACAGCAACCAAATGTAAAACTTATAATATAATTATGTTAAGGTGAAATATTAGTGCATAGTTTAGTTTTGTTATTTTTGTTCAGAACAATGTTTTTAATATTATGATACTTTGAAATTTTTTACTGAGAGTCACTCTATCACATTAAAGAAAATCTTGGGTAAAAAAGTAACTACTTCTAAACTCATTATCCGAGAACAACCGAGTGCATTTATTTTACAATGAACTCATTTTATTTAGTTTTATAGTAGGTATATAATGAAAAAATATCCACATGGAAAGTAATATATGTTAAGATCTGAGAAATGTGTATAGTCATTAAAAACAATGAAATAATCTACTTATTTAAAATAACACTTTTTTTTTCTCAAAGTTCATAATTTAAGCTTTTTAGGTAAAAACTCATCCATTTTTCTTGGGAAGTTAATAAATGCCACTATAAGGATACAAGTTTCTATTATTCTTGATACCTCTAAATTCTAAAATGAAAATGGAATTGAGATTTGTATAGTGTTCCAGGAATATTTTTATTTATTTATAAAAGTAAAGAGTAAAAAATTTTCTGATATATAAAGGACACGTTTATATTTATGTGAAAATAGCATTGTACAGAGAGAGGAAATAGGAAGTACAGATTGTATTTGAAAGAAACGGTTGTAGAAAACAGAACTGACCACTTTTTAATGCTCAATTTTAAGTATTCGCATTTAGATATGGATTTAACAATATTTATAAAAGATATATTGGTTTGGATCTCTCCCTGCCCCCCGTATGTACAGACTGAACAGGAAGCATCGCTGGACCCGATTTTAATAGAAGATTATGATTCATTAATAGAAAAGATGAACAACTGGAATTTTCAAATTTTTGAACTTGTAGAAAAAATGGGAGAGAATTCAGGAAGAATCCTCAGTCAGGTTTGTTTCAAATCCCCACTACTTTTTTATTATAAATTTTTTGAATCTTTATAAAACACAGAATCTAAAAATGTATAATGTTGGTCTATGCAGAAATTCAACATTTTTTATTGAATTATTATTTTCACAAATGAAGTTTTCAGTAGAAAATTTGAAAGCATATAAATGAAAAGTAATTTATTTATAATAATGGGATTTAATTTTAACTAAAGTAATAAAGTTTTACTTTATATTGAATCTGGAGGTTGAAAAAGGAAAAAGATGATCAAGTGCTAACCAATGAAAATAGCTTTGTTTTTTTCACCTGCCCTCCCTTATCTTTTACTCAAGACCAAATAGTTCATTTCTTGTTACAACCATGGAAAAATATGTCCATTTACTACCCAGACTAGAGGTTGTCCCTGATGGGTTCACACAACAGTATCAGATTAACCTTCTCAAAATATCACCCTCATTAACTCCAAAATGTCTTATTTATGAGACATAAGAACAGAATAAATTATGTGGAAGGTATATAAGTTCATCTCTTTGAAGTCTTTAGAGACAAAAACATTACTTCTTTTAACACCTAGGACTAGAATAGAATTCATATGCCCTTTAATAAATTATAAATAATGGGAACTTTTTTAAACTAGAACATGACATGGTAATCTTTCTTTGGTTTTCATGGGCTTTCAGGTAATGTCTTCCTTTTTCATGTTTTCAAAAGATCTCATTGTAGGGGAGTTTTTTAAAAATTAATAACTTAAAGATATATACATGGTTAATATTCCTAAATGCAGATCACAAAAACATATACTCAACCACAAATAGAAATTCTGACTTTAAAGTGAACTTTATTTTAATTGACATTTAGGTTATGTATACCTTATTTCAAGACACTGGTTTATTGGAAATATTTAACATTCCCACTCTACAATTCATGAACTATTTTCGTGCATTAGAAAATGGCTATCGAGACATTCCTTGTAAGTATTAACATGTCTTATTATTTAAGTTCAAATAATAGTAGTTTTTAAACCCTTTATTATTTTTCCCTTCAGATAGTCACTAAACACTTTTAAATTACATGTTTGGGAAAGTTTTAAATAGAAATTTAAAAAGAAAATCTGTATCCTACTATTTAAAGTTAACTGACTACTGTTAACATTTTGATATATATTCTTTAAGACTTTTTTCTTGTATGTTTATTTTTATAAAGTAAATCATAATACCAATACCTATTTATAATCTGCTTTCACTTATTACATGATATGCATCTTTGTTAATATTTGAGTGCCTAATATGGACACAGGCAATAGGGTAGGTGAAGACCTGGAGGGGTGGGTATGGCCTGGGAGAAGGGGGTGAAAGGGAAGGGAAATGGGAGACCTCTGTGATATCAACAATAAAAAATGTATTTTTGAAAAAGAAACAAACCTATTACGTATTACAAAAAAAAATAAGTTTCTGGATCTAACTTTTCTAAACTTGTTTCCAAGTTTGTAAATGGGAATAACAGTACTTACTCCATAGGTAGTGAAGATAATCTATGTAAATAAAGCACACATCAGAATTCATGGAACATAGTAAATGGTCAATAACAAATGATTATATTTATGATAAGCTCCTAGTGTATCGAATCATGCTCTGAAGCCCTAACAGTTAGTATTGTATAAGCTGCCAATTCTACATAAGTACGCATTAAATATTGGTTGAAGTGTTGATTTTTTATTGAATGTCAGCTATGACTATAATCATTAGATTAACAAAGGTTATCTTATTTAATCTTCCTGGGAAAGATTGTATTATCTGCTGTTCACAGGTGAGAAGTTAAAAACTCAGAAGGATCTTTCCCAAGATTATAAAATTATAAATAGCAAAGCTGGGTTTTAACCTGTGGACCTCACACAGTGGTATTTCAGTAAACAAATGTTTTCTTGACCATGTGCTATGTGTCAGACACTGTTTTGAATGTGTTCATATACCATTTAACATTTAATCCTTATAGAAGAGCTGATAAATAAGTATCATTCTTTTTTATGGGTGGATCAAGGGATGTTCAGGTATCCAGAATTTTAACTGTTCTATGCACCCCTGTGCAAAAATAGGTCTCCATAATCCAAACACTGTTTACAAAATCTTTTTAAAAGCTACAACCTTAAATATATTTTTCTATGCCTTTAAATTAGCCCTGGTTACCCTTCCTTTTCTATGACCCCTTAATTATGTTTTCATAATGTGAGTTTTTAAAATAACTTTTTAACACATCAAGAGGTTTTAAAAAATAAGATGAAACAGAAATATAATTGTGGGAAATCATTTTAAGCCATATATTTATATATGGGAATAACTAAAAAGTATTATACTTTTTAAAATGTCTTATGGTAAATGTAACAGAATAATCATTTTAAAAATCATTTTGGTGACTTTAGATCACAATCGTATACACGCCACAGATGTCCTACATGCAGTTTGGTATCTGACAACAAGGCCAGTTCCTGGCTTACAGCAGATCCACAGTGATCATGGAACAGGAAATGCAACAGGTACTTCCTTCTACAGATCTTCCTTTTAATTAATAAAATTAATTAATTAAGCTACCTCATTTTATTACCTTCCAAAATTTTCATTAAGTAACCTTTGATACAAAGGGCCATGTCAATTTTTATGTATAATAATGACATGCAGCCGAAACCGGTTTGGCTCAGTGGATAGAGCGTCGGCCTGCGGACTGAAAGGTCCCAGGTTCAATTCCGGTCAAGGGCATGTACCTGGGTTGCGGGCACATCCCCGGTAGGAGATGTGCAGGAGGCAGCTGATCGATGTTTCTCTCTCATCGATGTTTCTAACTCTCTATCTCTCTCCCTTCCTCTCTGTAAAAAATCAATAAAATATATTAAAAAGTATAATAATGACATGCAAATTAGGAAACCTACCACCCATCTTGAGGGCTAGGTTAAGATCCAGTACTGCTGGGTCTATCAAGTCTCTTCTACGTCCCATTCTGCTGATAGGCCATTGAGGTAACCACTATCCTGAATATTATATTACTAGAGGCCCTGTTAACAGATTCGTGCACCAGTGGGGTCCCTCGACCTGGCCGGCAGGGATCAGGCCAAAACCAGCTCTCTGACATCCCCTGAAGGGTCCCGGATTGCGAGAGGGCACAGGCCAGGCTGAGGGACACCCCGCCCCCCCCCCAGGTGCACGATCAGACTGCAGAAGGGCTCCAGGGCGTGTCTGGCCCATCTTGCCCAATCGCAATCGGCCAACCCCGGCAGCAAGCTAACATACTGGTCAGAGTGTCTGCCTCCTGGTGGTCAGTGTACGTCATAGTGACTGGTCAAATGAACAGAACACTTAGCATATTAGGCTTATATAGGATGATAATCATTTCTTTGCTTTCTTTTAATTCTTGGTTTTTTGTTTAGATGTATCATGTAAATAAAAATTTATAATATTCCCATTATTTGAAAGCCTCACATATGTGTTTAAATGATGAATTACAAAACTTTTTCTAATTTTGCTCCCAAAGAAGTTAGTTCTGTTCCCCATCATAGTATAATTATTAATGCAAATATAATGAATCATAACATTCATGGTTCTCTTATTCTAGCTTGTAAAAGAGTGGAGATATGTTTTGGATCTCTAAAAAAAAAAAAAAAAGAAAGAAAAAGAGTAGAGAGCTGGGCCCTTGTGACCTAGTGGTTGAGTATTGACCCATGAACCAAGAGTTCAATTCACAGGTTCAATTCCTAGTCAGGGCACATGCTGGGTTTTTATCTTGACTCCCAGTAGGGGGCATGCAGGGGACATGCAGGATGTAACCAATCGATGTTTCTCAGTGATATTTCTCTCTCTCTCTCCCTTTCCCTCTAAAATCAATAAAAAAATAAAATAAAATACGAGGGGAGGAAAAGGGGAGAAATACTTCAATAATATAGAGACAGACATATGCACACACAGACATAATTTGCTCAGTAACAAATGCCTGAGAAATATTACCAGACTAATCAGTGTAAATGTGATAGACAGCCACTGCTTTACGTTCTTTGGTACTTGAGTCTAAAGTACCACCATTATTTGTTTGATGGAATTGCCTATGTTCATATTTGTCTGCCATTTATATTTTACTCTTTTTCTAGTGCTCTTTGTTCCTTCCAGTGGTTCTGTGCTTCCATGAGAGATCACTTTCTTTAGCTTTTTTTGTAGACGTATTTATTTTGTCTTAGAAGAATTTGAAGACTCCATCTTCTGACTTGAGTAGTTTCTGTTGACAAATTGGCCTAAAGTCTTATTTCTCCTTAAAACTAATATGTTCCTTTTCACTTAGACTATGATGTACTCAGATGATTTTCTTTGCATTCATCCTGCTTGGTGTTCTGTTAACTTATTGAAAATGTTAATATTTCTTATTGATGTCTATCATGTTCTTTAAAATTCCAGTCTTTGCCCATTGCTCAATTCCAATTCTTAGGGAATTGCTACAGCAGGACTTCATTTCCAGTACCAAAATCTGTGTTAAGTTTCCCATTCTGCTGTAACAACTTACTACAGACTTACTTAGTGGCTGAAAACAATACAAATTTATTATCTTACAGTTCTGAAAGTCAGAAGTCCAAAGTAAGTCCAAATGGGCTAAAATCAAGGTGTCAGCGTGATTATTGTCTTCTAGAGTCTCTAATGGAGAATTCCTTTCCTTGCTTCCTCCATCTTCTAGAAGTCGCCTGCATCCCATGGTCATGGCCCCCTTCTTCAAAGACAGCAGCTTAGCATATACTCAAGACCCTCAGACCCTACGTTTCCTTCTTCCAAGGGATTAGCAAAAAGTGGGCCAGCTACAACCTTGGCTTTCTGTTTAGAGTACACTACCTTGATAGTTAATCTACTGTTAGTCTCTTTTACAATCTGGACAGGTTGAGAATTTCCCAAATTATCAAGTCCTGATTCTTTTTGATTAAACAGTTCTCTCTTTCCTCTCACATTTTACTATAAAGAGTAAGAAACTAGGCTATATTTTCAACACTTTGCTTGGAAATCTCCGTGGCTAACTAAGTTCATCTTAACAGGTTTTGTGTTCTCTATTAACTGCAGCACATTATTTGGACGAGCTTTCTGTATAACAATATAGCAATGATCTCCTAATTTCCAATATGTTGCTCAGTTTTTCTGAGTCCTCATGGCAGTGTACCTAACAGCATTTTTCTACCACTAGCCTGTTAATGGTGATTTAAGTATTTATTCCATGAACCTCACTTCCTTCACAGTTCGTACTGGCACAGTGTTATGGAATCAAGTATCTGTAGAAGACAAGTCATTGGGAGAAAAGGGGGACAGGAGCCGGGATGGGGGGTGGTGGTTTGCCCCCGCCCCACTCCCGATGTCCACCCACCCACGCACACTACGCCAAGATAAGTAGGAGGGCCGCTGGGGCGAGCCTTGCGCAGCCGGGTGGAGCTGCCGCAGGTTCAGATCTTGGTGGTGGTAGCAAATATTCAAACGAGAACTTTGAAGGCCGAAGTGGAGAAGGGTTCCATGTGAACAGCAGTTGAATATGGGTCAGTCGGTCCTGAGAGATGGGCGAGCATTGTTCGGAAGGGACCGGCGAGGGCCTCCGGTGCCCTCAGCAGATCAAAAGGGAGTTGGGTTCAGAACCCCGAATCTGGAGTGGCAGAGACGGGCGTCGCAAGGTGTCCAGTGCAGTAACGCAACCCATCCCCCGGAGCAGCCCCGGGAAGAATTCTCTTCTCTTTGTGAAGGGCAGGGTGCCCTGGAATGGGTTCGCCCCAAGAGAGGGGCCGGTGCCTTGGAAAGCTTCGAGGTTCCGGGGAGGCTGGTGAGCTTTTGCTGGCCCTTGAAAATCCAGGGAGAGGGTGTAAATGGGGGGGGGAGGGGGGGCGTGCCCATGTCAGCAGCAGGTCTCCAGGTGAACAGCCTCTGGCATGTTGGAACAAATGTAGGTAAGGGAAGTTGGCCAACCGGATCCATAACTTTGGGATAAGGATTGGCTCTTAAGAGTTGGGTGGGTTGGGCTGGGGCACGAAGTGGGGCTGGGTGCCAGACCCGTCCCCACGGCCCTACGCACCGCCCTGACCCCGCCTGCGCAGCTCAGGGGCAGGACGGGGCGAGACCTTGGCTGCAGTGGGGCGGGGAGGTCCCCCGCGGGCCCATGGGGGCCCGGACACCTGGGGGCCTGTGGCAGTGACTCTCTACACGAGCCAGGCCCTTCCCTTGGATCGCCCCAGCTGCGGTGGGTGTCACGGCCACCCCTGGGGAGCTCTGCGGGCGCCAGTAGCCCGGGGTCGCGTTGGGGGTCCCCCTCCCGACTCCCAGCTTGCAAAGGTCGTCGTCCCCTCCCCCCGCCGCCAGAACCGCCCTGGGGCCGCGGTTCTGCGCAGCGCCTAGCAGCCGACTTAGAACTGGTGCCGGCCAGGGGAATCCCACTGTTTAATTAAAACAGAGCATCGCAAAGGCCCGCGGCGCTGCCCAGTGCCCTGAATGTTAAACAATCTGATTAAAAAATGGACATTCTTCTAAAGACGACATCTACATGGCATCAGGTACACAAAAAGATACTTGACATCATTAATTATCTATATAAATAAAAGCCTAAGCGACTGGAGCTACCAGAACGACTGGTTGCTATGATGCACACTGACCACCAGGGGGCAGATGCTCAACACAGGAGCTGCCCTGGCCAACCTCCTGTGTTACCTCCCCCCAGCCAGCAGGTCCCAATCACCTGATCAGGGCCGGTCCCCTGGCTGGGACAGGAACCGGGGGTGGGTGGCGGCAGACGTGGCCCTATCCCTGGGGGGCCGAGGGCCAACTCTCTCCTCGGGGCTGGCGGCCAACCTCCCGGGCCTGTCCCTCCCCCTGGCTGGCAGGCCCCAATCAGCCTGTCCACCGTGGTGGTGGTGCGGTGGTGAGGGAAGGAGGAGGGGGGGAGGCGGGGAACTGTGTAGTGGCAAGGTGTCCGGTGTCCATTCTTTCTGTGCCTGGCCCAGTGACCATTGCCTCTTCTCCAGCCCCACCCTGATTGGTCTGGCCCCAATTGGCCCTGATCGCCAGCCAGGCCTAGGGACACCACCTGTGCATGAATTTCATGCACTGGGCCTCTAGTTAGGGAAATGAAAATCAAAACCACAGTGAGATCCCCTAACACTTGTTAGGATGGCTTGTTACTGTTTTAAGTCCTTGTTTATAAATAGAAATTAATTCATAGTAAGTAGACATAAGATAATCATATTGCCTATGGGGATTCCCCTCCTTAGCCTCATTGTGAGGAGGTTATATGTCTAATGCTGCTTCTGCTTGTTCCTCAGAGTCTGATGATAGAATTAACCCTGGGCGGATTGCTTACATTTCTTCGAGGAGCTGCTCAATCCCAGATGAGAGCTATGGCTGCCTGTCTTCAAACATTCCTGCCTTGGAATTGATGGCTTTGTATGTGGCAGCTGCCATGCATGATTATGACCACCCAGGGCGGACAAATGCATTTCTAGTGGCTACAAATGCCCCTCAGGTAGGAAATACTTTTTCGGAAAGTTTAAAGAGTGATTCCGGAATTTTACAATCATTTTGTGCATTCTTTTGTATATCATTCTCCAGTTTAATCATATGGCCATTACCTCGACATGTAATTGGATGTTAACACATGACACTGACATGACGTGTACTAAAGAATTAGGGGGGAAAGTCTCCTTCAATTAGAAAAGAAAATGTTTATGAAAGAGTGACTCATTGTTTTATGAAATTCTGCAGTTCTTGTTTTCAATATTTTTGCCTTTGATCAAAATGTAAGACTCACTCTTCCTTCTGGCAAGGTCCTCTGTATGGCTAGAAGCTATAATGATGAGCAACTGTTATTTTTGTTGTTGTCTTCTTTTCCTCTAAAACAGTGGTTCTCAACCTTGGCTGCACATTAGAATCACCTGGGAATCTTTTTAAAATCCTGATTTCTGGGCCTCATCCTCCGGAAATTCTGTTTCTTTGTTACTAATGTTGTGGCCCCACCCAATAACAAAGAAACAGAATTTCCAGAGGATGAGGCCCAGAAATCAGGATTTTAAAAAGATTCCCAGGTGATTCTAATGTGCAGCCAAGGTTGAGAACCACTGCTCTAAAACATGCCTTAATACTCAGACTCTAAATCTCTTAACTCTGAATATATTAATATGTGTAAAAATTCTTCTGGTACCACCTCATTTTTGTATCCAGTACAGCTGAGAAGGTGCACAATTCCTGTACAGTCAAAATTTGCATAGGAGATAGGAATTCCCAACAAATGGATACTCTAATTGTAATAGTTTTAAGCATTGGGACTTGGAACCAAGTACTTGGTTTTAAGTAGAATTTAGTATGCATGTTTGTTTGGGCAGCTGATTCCTTTATATTCTCTGTCTAAATGCGAGCCTTACGGAGAGTGAATTCATCTTTTACACTTTGTCATTCTGTATTTAAACTTCAGTTCTGATTCTTTCATCTTCTGTAGCCATTCTCTGTGTTCCTTTTCTCACTTTTATCCCTTTCACACATTCTCACTGTAAAATAGAGGGGATAGATTCTTTAGCCACAATAAGAGTAGGATTCGGAGATGAGTGGGGGGAGAATGTTAAAAGTGATGTGTGATTCATTTTCCCCATTGAGACTTTATCTATTAAAAGCTCATGATTTCCATAGGTAACTAATTAAAAAATAAATTTCAACCTAATATTTGTTCTCTTTCAAAGAAATTGCCCACTAAGGAGCACATATTTCCTCATTTGCAGTACCATTCTTCAAAAATCAATGCCCATTCTCTCTAGCCCAATACTTCATAATTTTTGCAAATCTTCTGGTGAGTCAAACTTGGGCAGTAGTGGCACAATGGAAAAAAATGCTGGTCTTGGGATCTACTAGCATGTGTTTGATTTCTGGTTATTATTTATTAGCTCTGTGACCTTAGGCAAATCAGCCTTATCTTTCTGACCCTCAAAATATGTACCTGATATGGTTAAGAGTAAAAGGAGATAACATACGGAAAGTTTTCTTGCATTTTATGTATTTGAGAGCCTCCTGAACTACATAATCACGTAGAAAGAAATGACTCACTGTTCTTTTCCACTCTCTGCTTTTATTAGCTTTGAGTGTAGGTGAGTCAGAGTTGTTTATTACTTTTCCTTCAGGATATTAAAAATGAATGGATTCTAGAGTTACCTCTCTCACTTGCGGAGAATTTTTTTTAAAAACTGTTATAATTTATAAAGTTTATACTCAAAACTTGTTCTAGTTCCTAACTTGTCATTGTTAAGAATTGCCAATAGCCCTGACCAGTTTGGCTCAGTGGCTAGAGCGTCGGCCTGTGGACTGAAGAGTCCCAGGTTCAATTCCGGTCAAGGGCATGTACCTTGGTTGCGGGCACATCCCCAGTAGGGGGTGTGCAGGAGGCAGCTGATGGATGTTTCTCTCTTATGGATGTTTCTAACTCTCTATCCCTCTCCCTTCCTCTCTGTAAAAAATCAATAAAATATATTTTTTTAAAAAAGAATTGCCAATAGATGAAGCAGTGGGAAGCTCTGGAATGCAACGGAAATAGATTAGAGAGTTCAGCTACCGAAAAGGTACAGCCTTGCTTACTTCCTGCTCCCCCTCAGTCTGGTCTCCACACACAGCAGCCAAAGTGACTGTTTACGTCGAGTTACATCACTTTCTGTTCCAAACCCTTCAATGACATTCACCACATTCCTAGTAAGTCACTAGGATAGCGCAGAAGGCACTACTTGATTTAAACCCCATGAAGTCTGCCTTTTTCGTACTCCCTCAGGGCTAGCCTCACTGGCCTCCTTGCTGTTTTCCCCTGTACCTAGGCACCCTCCCCGAGAGCCTATTCCTGTTCTGTCCTCCCTGCCCAGGGTGCTCTTTCCCCACCTATCCATGGAGCTCATTTTGTCATGTCCTTCCATCTAAAATTTCAGAAACTCCTTCCTGGCACTCATTATGCTCCTTCCCTGCTTTATTTTTTCCATAGCAATGATCGTTTAGATATTCTGTATTCTGCTCATTTATGATATGTGTTCCCTCAGTGGAATAGAAGATTCCATAAGAGCAGGGATTTTTGTCTCTTTTATTTCCTAACTAGAGGCCCGGTGCACAAAATTCGTGCACTGGAAGATGGGGGTGTGGGGTGTCCCTCAGCTCAGCCAGCGCCCAGTCACACTCCGGGACCTCTCACTCCTTATCACCTGCCTAGTCACTGCTCCTTAACGTTTGGCTCACTGCTCCTTAGTGCTACTGTGGAGGCGGAGAGGCTCCCGCCACCCCCACTGCACTTGCCAGCCGTGAGCCTAGCTTCTGGCTGAGCAGCGCTCCCCCTGTGGAAGCGCACTGACCCCTGGTGGCCAGTGTGCATCATAGCGACCAGTTGTTCTGCCGTAGAGGTCGCTTAGGCTTTTATTATATAGACTTCAGGGGTCCTCAAACTACGGCCCGGGGGCCACATGCGGCCCGCTGAAAACATTTATCCGGCCCGCCGGGTGTTTTTGCCACCGCTGCCTGTTGCTTAGCAGCTGACTAGTTTTTTTTAAACTATAGTCTGGCCCTCCAACGGTCTGAGGGACAGTGAACTGGCTCCCTGTTTAAAAAGTTTGAGGACCCCTGGACTAGAGGACTGGTGCACAAAGAGATTCGTGCAATAGGCCTTCCTTTCCCCTGGCTGCTGGCACTTGTTTTCCTCCGGCACCCGGGACCCAGGCCTTCGTTCTGACTGGGCTCCGGCCGGAGCCTGTCCCAGGGCCGTGAGGCCTCGCTGCTCCACCGCCCCGGGGCCGTCAGGCTTCGCGCCACTGCTTGGAGCCTACGTGTGCAAATTAACCACCATCTTTGTTAGGTTAATTTGCATACTCTCCTGATTGGCTGGTTAGCATAGCGAAGGTACGGTCAATTAGCATCTTTGTCTATTATTAGGTAAGAAGATACCTAGACCAATAGTACCTCACACACAAAAGACATTCAGTAAATATTTGTTGAATGTTGAAGGACGCCTGATTTCTTTGCTCTGCAGCACCACTAGCTTGTCTGAAATGTACTCAGTTCTTCCCAGAGTAATGAAATTCCTAACACCTGCCTCAGCTAGCGCCTATGAGATAAGGACTCTTTTGTGAAAGCCTGAGGCTTAGTGTGTTTATTAGGTAAATAAAATAGGTTCTCTCATCTTGGGAAGCTCAGTGGGTCTAATTAAGCCATAATTAGTAAAAGATATCATTGCTCCAGTGTATTATAAAAAGTGACAGCAGTATACAATACCACCATTAAGTATTCCTCTTCATTCTCATGGTAAAGAATGTATGCTGGGAAGACAGGAGGATTACTTTGAATCTTTTCCATGAAAGAGGTAAAATATTTAGTCAAGTTTAAACTGGAAGGATGTCAGTATTAAAATTCTGAGATTTCTCAGATATTTCCAAATGAAAAGTTGGCAAAAGAAGGAGATTAGTGCTTGAGGTATTAATATTTTGATGAGATTTAGGGTAAAGGGAAATAAAATTTCAAGTTGGGACCTGTAAACCTCATACAGTCAAAATACGGATCAAGATGGTGACTAAAATCATATGCATTTGTCCCTTCCTCCTGACTAAAATGACAGTAAGGGGTGAAGCTCAATGTGGGAGGGTATTACCACCTGTAGATTAAAGAATTGTATACTATTTTTAGAAAATGAAAAACAGATGGCTCAATATTGAGACATAAAAGCATATTAGGTGGGGCTACAGACTAAGTGGAACTCTAGAGGAAGTCCAGATGTCTTTGTGCCTGCCCACGTGTGCGCACACACAGGCTTGCTCGCACTTAAGTGTACGTGCCTGTCAGCAAACCTGCTGCAGCCCTGCGTTTACCTCCAGGCAGAAAAGTCAGCCCTTAGATACTAAAGGAAACTGCCAGGAGAGAAATACTAGTGTGGGTATCAGTATTCCAGAGTAAATCCTTCTCATTCTGGAAGCTGAACAGCTGACACCCAGTCTGTAATTCTAAAGCAAAACCTGCTAGGTAGCAAGCCCTGAACACATTCACATCCTTCCCAATTAAAGAAGAGACTCAGCAATAAAACACATAGTGCAGAAGAAAGTCACGCTTGCAATCTAGAATTCATTTTCTTATATCAATAGAAAACCAAGGATTTCCAGACATTAATCGGTAGCTAGGGAAAAAAAAAGGCTAAAGTGATCAGAATTAAGTGAATACAGGATAATCTGGGGCAGTGGTTCTCAACCTTCTGGCCCTTTAAATACAGTTCCTCATGTTGTGACCCAACCATAAAATTATTTTCGTTGCTATTTCATAACTGTAATGTTGCTACTGTTATGAATCGTAATGTAAATATCTGATATGCAGGATCGTCTTAGGCGACCCCTGTGAAAGGATCGTTCAACCGCCAAAGGGGTTGCGACCCACAGGTTGAGAACCGCTGATCTAGGGAATAGAAAAGCACTGAATGTTTTTTTAAAGTTCTCAGAGAATTTGAAAAAGACTGCATCCACAATAAGAAAC